CTATCTGGTCAGTCCCCCCGATCCTGGACAGAGACGTAGCTAACCTAAGCCTATCTAGCTGTCTTTTGTCATGCTGCTTTGAATCTCTATGGGTTTGCCCCAAGCCAAACTGTTCCGGGCTTTGACTTGCATTGACATAGGCTCAGGACAGTCATCTACACACACAGTTTGAATGACCATCAACTTGGATGAGCTCCATTTGTCCTGGGAAAAAATGTAAGCTCAGATATTTTGCAAGTACCTAAAGTGGGACAGTGGGCAACTAAGTTTGTAGGATCCCAGGATAAAAGGCTTCATCTGAAGAGAAATCTAATGTCTGTTTTTAGCCTAGAGTGCTGTGTGCGATGGCCCCATTGCCAGCATGGTCCTCCTGAGCCCTACACTAGGAACTGTAAGCTTTATGGCTCTCTAACAAACAGCCAGTGCTGAGATTTCTGCCTTGGCAGGATCTGTATTACGCTTTTTGTCCTTTTACTTAACTCAGGGGGTCCAGAATGCAAGGACTTGTATAGCATTCTGGTTTTTATTAGGTTAGCTTCCTGCTATGTGCAAACAAGGGTATAGACAATTCACATATAATTATGAATTTATCCTAGCTAACATTTCAGAAACTCCTGTTATTTTGATTGAGAATGAGAATGTGTTAATTTCCTTTCAAAGTATTATTTTATGCTTATTTCTTAGGTTACAATTCATGTCTCACAATTGTGCCATTTCTTAGCAAATGGACCCCATGTAAGCCAAAAGCAGGATTTGACCCATTCAGTACTGCGTAGGATTAAAGCCTGGAAAATGTCACACAGTGAACTTGCATTTAATTCACTTTCTGTAGATATTCCACTGAGCCAACTTAGTATCAGGAACGTTTATGGAAACTGCAAATATTCAGGCTTGGAGAATGTTGCCGGGGTGGGGGGGTTCAGAGAACAGAAAAATAGCATCTTACCTAGAAGGGCTGATCAAAATTAACCAGAAACTAGTAGCAAACTAATAACATGCTGCTTGGGAGCAACCTAAAGAACAAGGATCACTTTTACACACTAATAGGCAAATTCCTTTAAAATTGTCATTTTTAATAGCATATACATTTAAAGACTTGTAGTTCTGGACTGGTACAATAGAAATCAAAGCCATAAGGGAATTAATCTTGCAATATTCTAATATAATTTGCCAATACAAGTGTATATGTGTTTTTAAATCATAAAAAAAATAATGGTGGAAGAACCCCCCGGAAAACTCCTAATCTAGCCCTTGTCTCAAAAGGTTTGTCCCTGTTTAAAATGTTCCAGACAAGCGTCTGTCTAATCTGCTCTTAAAAACCTCTAAGGAAGAAGATACCACAGCCTCTCTAGTTACCCCTTGTCAGTGGTTAAACACCCTCAGACTTAAACAGGTAAAAAAAACCCCACATATATAACCAAAGTTGCTTTTGACTGTGTTTTACTTCCTTGTTTCCCAAAAGATCCTAAATGTTTGGTTCTTAGGTTTTGGTTAACTGAAGCACGAATTCAGTAGGAAAAAAGAGGTGGGGGAGTGGTTTTGGTGTCCCATTCACTTGACTAACTTTTCAGGTGTCAGGTGGGTCTTAGGCAAATGAACTGAGGAGGGAAGATCGGTTTCCCTGATTTTTCATATTGGCAGACCTTAAAGCTGTACTTACCTGTTGCTAGGGGGGTTTACCAGTAATCCCACCCATGGGGAGCAGTCACAGAGAGGTGAATGGGCATAGAAGAGCAATGGGGGGCAGCGGGCAAGAGAGGGGCTTTTGTTAAGGTAAATTGCTGTGGGGCGTTAGGAAAAGATTGCATTTTTATGTAGGCGGGACACTTAGATTTTTCCCAAGCAAATAAAGGAAACTGATCTGCACTCCTTAGCTCTGCATGGCTTCATAGTTTCTGGATTTACACTGATTAGCTTAAACACTTAACTTCAGTATCGGCATGCTGGAGATAACGTTTTCTTTATGAACTGTAAGAAACTTGTTTTAGCTTACATTAAGCTTGTTTATATTAATGATGCTTTTCATTTGGCAGAAAATCCCCCATTTGTATGCTCTGAAGTGAGTCTTTGCTAAATGCTGTAAATGTTTTCTGCTACATTATTAACATTTTTAGGTAGTGTTTAAATATGAATGTACAAATGGAAACTAAAAGTAATACGTAGTAATTTTTTAAAAATTTGGCTTGAATTGTAATGTAATATAACATTAGAAGGAGACAAAAAGGGTTTTGCCTTTTCCTTGAAAAGGTTGACACTTTCTTTTTGTGTATGGTAATTACAAAACATTTGATCAAATTTAGGCAGCAGATCAAATTAAGAAGCTGTATAATCTTTTCCTGAAAATTGATGCCACTCAGGTTGAAGTGAATCCCTTTGGTGAAACTCCAGAAGGACAAGGTAAGAAATTAAAGAAAACAAATGAATACATTATAATTCTTTATTTATGCAAACTATAAATTAAATTGCAAGGAAGGCCATAGCAGCAGCTTTGCATTAATTTCATTTTGTAATTTAATTTAAGCAGCTTTCATAAATGTTCCCATGACAGAGTTTACATTTCAATGCCTTTTGTTATACCATCTAAGAACTGGAAGTATCAGCAGCTACATGCTATGCTTGGCAAGAAATAACAACTTTTTCTTGCTTTTCATACAAAGTACTTTTGTTCACTCCATTAGAATTAGTCAGGTTATGGAAGGGACTGGTTATTTTAGGAAATCGTCTTGAATATGCAGGCAAGTTACAGTCTTGAGTAAGTTTGTTAGAACAGAAGAACGAGAGAGCCCAGCTGGACTAGCAGAGTTCACACCTGCCTGTATCCAGTGATAATCAATAAGCTTCCACTGTGGAAGAAGGAATAAAAACATATACGGGAAATCTTGCACAGTCTTGCTGCTTGCCTTTCCTTTTGTCACCCTGCTCTTCTACTGTCTTGGCATGTTAATTCCACCAACTGACTGTCACAGCAATTTAGGGATATGTATCCATACACCTATATATATATATATATATATATATAGGTCCTCCTCTGCATTTGCCCTATTTCCCCACTGTGCTGCACATGTCCTAAAAAAGGTGTACTTGGAAAAATAAAAAGCAGGTGTGGTAGATGGGTTAGTCATTGAATTCAAAAGAAAGGGAAAAGAGAAAAAGATTGATTGTTCCTTTACAACAGTTCATAATGCAGGACAAAAGCCTTTGATTCAAGGGCCCATTAGGACAAAATCAAATGGATCAACAGCATCTGCACTGGTAGGAAGAGTGGTGGAAAAAGGCCTTGACGCTAGGGAGGCAGGTGCATGCCAAGGCAGAAGCAGGACTTTTTCATTAAGGACTGAGGAGGTGAAGCAGGGGATGGTGCTGGCTTCAGGGAAAGAAGATGTAGTCTGGGTGTGGCGAGGTAGGTAGAGCACATTTGGAGCTGGGGTAAGGACATGGCATGAAGGGATAGGACTCAAGCCTGAGACTCTGCTTTAACGGAGGTAAGAATAGCCAATCTCTTGATAGGATTCTGCTGCACTGTGGGTGGTACATTGTCCCTCTCTCCCATGTACTCACTTAGATTTAACACTGGATTGTAGGTGTAATTATTTGAAACAGCAGTAAATGCATGTACACAAGCATTCACCACCACTTGTGGGTTACCTTCTAGTTACCCTGCTAGTTCCCAGGTCACTGGTGAGTAATCACTACCACCTTACCAAATAACTGGTGGAAGTTGTCAGCCCCCTACTTTCACAGCGGTCTCTCAGATTCTTTTAAATGCCTTATTATACCATGTGAATGGCTTAGCAGAGGTCTCCCTTGACTTGTACTGCGAGCTCTGTATCTGCCCTTTAAAAGTAATTCCAATGTTCAAACTTCTGAACACATTTCCCCTACCACTCGCTCCTCCAAAGAACTGGTCCTCACTTCGGCTTCTCCTGTGGCCTCCAGTAGGCCACTGCCTCCTTCCTGGGATGGTAGCAGCCTTGCTAGGGCTGTTTGCCAGGCATTATATCAAAGAGACTGCCAGAAATGTTAGGCCCTGCAAAGGAAGACCAGGAGAAGCTAGATAGAGAGGCTGCAGGAAGATACTGGTGAAAACTCAGAGTCTGTTTCTTACTCTGTCTGTTCCCTCCAGTTAGCAGGGATTAGATATGTACTTTATATGTATTTATTGTGTTGTTTGGGGAAGGATAGATCAAAGAGAGGTGGCCATGTGTGTAGTCTCTGTAGGTCCTGAGATTCAGGTTCACCCTAGTCTTTTCTGCAGGTAAATTCCAGGTTCGCATGCCTCCTGCTGAGAGAGCTGCATCTTGTGAACACATGGGTTTCACTCTTTTTGATGTCAGCTCCATCATTTCAGTGGATCTGAGCTGTCGTAGGAAGTTGTGAACACATAAGGCGAGGCAGTCCCTCAGTCCAGTCGCATGGAGGGCTTTGAAGAGGAGGATCAAAGACTTGAATTTAACCACCTATCCAGTGGGGATCCAGCCAGTAGACCAGCACTGTGAACAGCTTGCAGTTCCATAAGTGGCTTCGTGTTTAGGCATAGAGAAGTACAATAATTGAGCCTGCAGGTGGGGAGGGAGCATAATCTCTGGCCTAGCAAAAATGGCATTTTTTTCTGGTTGTGTGTGATTATATGTTTAGAATGAGTAAAGCATTCAGGTAAGTGCAGAAGAAGCAAATAGAGCTAATGGTTAGGCTGTAAATGTCTTATGTGGAGGGAAAGGGTATAGAGAAAAGGAAGCTCTCCCTTTGTCCCATCACCTATTTGGTGATATAAGCCAAGTCTCTGGTTGGCTGAGGAGTTAGCTTTATTTATGCAAGTAATGCTGACCTACTTGTGGTTGGGTTATTGCTAGCATTTTGGTCTGTAGGGTTTCATATTCTGCTTTAGACACAAGATGAGAGAGACACCTGTGAAGGTGGAGGACCTGGGTTGGGGTCATTACAGCAGAAGCACAGTCAACGTGGCTGATGAAATCTCTGACTGCTCTAAGTCTTGGGGAAGGACAGCTCCACCAGCATTCTTGGAAACATGTAGTAGATAAAAGCTACAGCACTAAATAAAAGCGTTTTAATTATCTGTGGTTAATTTGTAACATAAACTGCTTTTCATTAAAAACACATAAGGTCATTTTTATATATTTTGGCTTGCTCTGCTCAGAAATTCAAGAGTTGAATCGTGGGTAGAGAGTGTAATAATCTTTTATCCAGCTGTCCAACAACATTTTATCCAGTAAATCAAATGCAGAAGAATTGGCAGTGTGATTGCAACTAAATTGTCCTTGACCTTCAGATTATAATGCCAAGAGAATTTCACTCTTAATGACTACTGGAAGCATTAGAATAAGAAATCTAGATATTTGTTCTTCCTTATTAAGGACTGTATTTTCTTGCTTAAGCACCAGTTTTTGAATGTTAACAGCCATTACTGTAAAGTAATATTTAAAAAAGTCAGTAGAAATAATTTGCTTACTGTACCAAGTGACAATACAGAGATTAAATTATAATAATGAACAAGTACGAGTTTGCTTTATGACCATAATGAGCAATAAACAAATTAAGCTGAATTAGGAAAAAATGATTAACGACTAAAGTTTCTAAATGCTGCTTTGATGCAAGGGAATTTTTCTGTTGATTTTTCTGGTCCTGTTCATTTTTATTTCAAAGCGTTTTATGGGGAGGTGGTGGTGTACGCATGTGTGTGTAGGTGCCTTTTTGCAAAAACTTTGGAAGCCTGTTTGGAAAATAAACCAAAGTATTTCAAAGTGAGGGGTCAACATGAGAGAGAGAGAGAGAGAGAATCAGGGTCTCTTTTGCTCAGGGGGGCAAGTAAGAGGCACTTGAGAAGAACAATATTAGAAACGGGACATAATGAGTGAAAACTTTTTGCTCTCTCTGTGAACCCTCAAGCTTAAGAGTGATGTTGTCCATAGCACGTCACTGATTGCTGTTGCTGTTGATGCGTGGCAGAAGGCTGGACTAAGCCATTGTTTTTCAAGCTGGGAGCTCATCTCTAGTAGAGGGCAGGAGGAAACAGGGTTTTGAAGTAGTAGGAGATGTGCTACTGGAGACCAGAGGCTGGGCTGGCATGCCTTTTCATTCCAGTTCCAACTTGTGAGCTATGCCATTGCCAGCCCATCTCATGGAAGCCAGGGCAAAGTGAGTTATCTCTTGGTCAGCAGCTTAGCCTTTCTGCAGAGCTGGGGGTGCAGAAGGTCAGCGAGGAGGATATCAGCTGAACTGCCGTACGACCTTCTCCAGAGCCACTTCTCAGCTCCTCTACCCTCAGAGATCAGAGGAGGAGAAGCCGAATGGTATGTAAGGAGGTTGGATTTCAATGAGGTAAGGAGACTAGTCGGGGAGGCACTGAGGTCCCGGAAAGGTCCAAGAAGAGTGATCATTCCTTAAGGAGACAATCCTCCAAGTCCAAAGGGCGACAGTCCCAACGTGGATCAAAGGGGGCAAGAGTGCTCAAAAGCCCTCATGGCTAACCAAAAGCATCCAGGAACATCTCAAAGCTAAAAAGGAGGCGTACACCCAATGGAAGGGAGGGGCCATCACCAAGGAGGATTGTAACTCCATTGCTTAAGACTGTAGGGGGGCTGTTAGGAAGGCTAAGGCAGAGATGGAACTGGGACTAGCGACCCAGATCAAAGATAACAAGAAGTCCTTTTTTAAATACATAGGGGGTAAAAAGAAGGTACTGGGTAACATAGGGCCTCTGCAGGGCACCATAGGAAATCTGATGGTTACACCAGATGACAAAGCTAACCTCTTTAAGAATTTCTTTGCCTCCATTTTTTTGAGCAGGGACTGGGGCATCCCTCCTACCGGGATCCCCAACAGACCTGGGGGAGGTGCTGCCAGGCCCAGAGTCAGTGATGACGTAGTCAGGGAACTTCTGGTGGGACTAGACGTGTTCAAATCAGCAGGTCCTGACGATCTCCACCCCAGAGTGCTGAGGGAATTGGCTGCAGTCATTGTGGGACCCCTGGCACGGCTGTACAAGCACTCGTGGTGCTCTGGTGGGGTGCCAGAGGACTGGAAAAGGGCCAATGTGGTACCCATTTTCAAAAAAGGGAGGAAGGAGGACCCAGGAAACTACAGGCCTGTTAGTCTTACCTCAGTCCTAGGGAAGCTGTTTGAGAAAATTATCCAGGAGCACATCTGCAAGGGACCAGCAGGGGGGGGATCACGCTTAGGGGCATCCAACATGGGTTCATTAGGGGCAGGTCCTGTCAGACCAACCTGGTGACTTACGACCAGGTCACAAACTCCTTGGATTTAGGTGTCGCGGTGTACGTAGTCTTTCTAGACTATAGGAAGGCCTTTGACACTGTCTCTCGCCCCAGTCTCATTAAGAAATTAGACAACTGTGGTGTTGATGCCTACACAGTCAGATG